AATTGATTTTTTTTTTTTTTTTTTCAGAAATACTGCATGCACATTTACATTTTCCTCCTAAATAAATTCTGGTAAATAATATTTCTGGTAAGTACTCCTTCAAAAAGTGTTTTTTGATTATCATTTTATTATTAGTAGATTAGAACACGTGGATATGTTGTCATTCTTACACTATATATAAACATATTACATATTATTTAGTAAGTTTGTAACCACCTAAATTAATGATTTTTTAAAAAGCATTTTTGGCAAATCCAGGTAATTTATCATAGAAATATGATGTTTTTTGATGTTTATGACTGTTATAGCACCATCTCCCTAAAACTTTGCATGCTTGTTTAGAATCGCCTGTCGCATGTGCTTACCAGTTTTCATGAAGTTTTGAGTTTTCCTTTAGGCTTTATAGGATTTTGGGTAAATTTGGACGGGCCCATTTTCTAAATGACCCCATTATAGCTTCCAAAAGGGTAAATTTCAACATTTTTATATTATTATTTCTACATTATTGACCTAGAATTGTACTGCAGTTGTTGTTTTTTTTTCTTTCTCCAGATTGAGCGAAAAACCTAGGACTCGTTTGCAAAAGTAGTTTTTTTTTTATTTTCACATCTTCTCAATCGTTTAACAAACGATTTGATTGACAGCAGTGGTTCTAGAGGCAAAGTTGTCCGGAATGAGGAGTCCTATCATATGATATGAATATTGTGCATATGTGCGAAAAACCGCGCAATGTACAATCGTTTATGACCTTGAAAAATGTGATATCGCCCCCCAGTGGCCACTTTCTTTCAAATTTCTCACAGACCTGAGAGACAGGCTAACCAAGTTTTGTTCCGATTGGCTTCCGTTAACCTTGTCTAATAGGTGCTCAAATTTCATCGGCCAAAGGCGGCCATGTTTTTTGAGATACGCAAATGTCCTTATAAACACTTGTGGCACTTTGGACCAAGACGATGCACACCGATTTTCGTGTTGATAGGACAAATGGTTGAGCAGTTATAGCCATTTTATGTTTTTTACATTTTATAGTGCTATGGAGTGGCCAAGCTCTGTGTTTTTCCCCCCATCACCTCAGATTGAGCTCATGAGTGTTCTGAGTTTGGCAAAGATATCTCGTTCCGTTCAGGAGTTATAGGCATTTTACTAAAAGTGGCCCTGCCACTTTCGAACGTTTTGGTGTCCCTTTGCGACGCGGAGTCGAAAGTTCAACTTTTGTTTTTATAATTATTGATATTCACTCTCCAGAGAATCTTTCTGCACTCTTTTGGTTCCTATCAAATGAAAAACCTAGGACTAGTTCGCAAAAGTATGTTTTTCAAAAACTTCAAAATACCTGAAGATCTGAGATGTCCGTTTTGTCTGGCGTGAGCCAAGGATTCCAACGACATAAGACACTTGAGCCTGCGACTGAGTTATGAGCAATTTTGTACTTTTGATCAGTGCAGCGCTCCAGTCAGGCAGATTGGGGTGAGCCTTGGTCAGTAGGCAGTATGAGTACTATAATCCCTCCAAGTTTCAAGTCTCTATGACTTACGGTTTGGTCTGCACAATCAGTTTTACATGGAGATTGCTGATCCTTGGCCATTCTAACAATTACAATAGGGTTTCAGTGCTATGTGTTGAACCCCTAAAAAACACTGCTCTGGTCATCACTATCCTCTTGCAATAGGACCAGCTGGATGGCAAAAAAAAGTACTAGTAGTACCTGGAATCAAATAAAAACTATAAATTTAGCAATACTACTACTACTACTAATTTTACAGAAAACTGTAAAATTACAATACTGATACTGATATATGGCTGTGTGAATCATAGGGCTATTATATTGGTGGAAAATTGCTGGTATGTGTTGCGTTTTCAAATGCGCAGCACTTGTAGAGATGGATTTTGTGTGGAGAAATGTACTGTAAAAAATAAGACATGTTGAAACCACACCATGCAGAGTAAACAAGTGAAAACAAGCCATGCAATTCTGCTGTTGGGAAATTAAATGTAGTGACATGCCACATTTGTACCTGGCCCACTTGATGAAGTATGGCAGATGATTGAGCAAGTTGAAAGTGTAGAAAGAGTAGCGAGTGATCTCTGTAATCGTCCAAACTACTACGAACAAGATCACACTCTCCTCATTCTGAATCTTAGTGCATGTTTCAAATGAAAGAAAAAATAGTCAAATGTAAAAGCCAATTTAGAGCTTGTACACAGGTTAACAGTGAATAGTTACCATAATTCACACTGACATGCACACTGACCTGTCTGATGCTGTTTGTAACAAACCAAACCATGAATATCCGAGAACATACTTGGACCCCAGTCACAATTACAGATGTCCGCACAATTCCTTTAGCACACCAAAAATAACACCTGGAAATCTCTTTATATATCTGGAATTAAATGCTTATATAACACTTTAAAATGCAGTACATACCAATAGCACAGTGTCCAACCTGAAATAAAAACAGAAGTAATGAGCTAAGGACATTTCCTTTATAAAAAGAATGAGCACAATAAATGAAGACAGATTCAGAACACAGATGCAAGCATGCTAAAAGACACAACTCTTCAGTGAACCCGTTTTGATGCTGCATGCCTTTTTACCCAGTCCCATACATTATTAAATATCATTGATAACATTTCAGTCACCATATTTTAGCCAATTTGTGGGTAATTTGCCTCATAATATTGCTTTCGGGTAACAGTTCCTCATTTTTTACAAAGTATTGTAAAAGCAACAAAAATGCAGACCATACTACATCACCAGCATGTATATGTAATATTGAATGTGAGGCTCATATGAGATTATGGTATGGAATTAACCTTATTCTTTATTCCATAAGTTTAGAACACACTAACAGTACAACTGGAAGTAAACAACAGTCCGTCTTCTATATCTACTTCTATATATGCCTAGGCTGACTCAGAGGTAAGGTTACAATGCTTGAATGACAAGCACCATCTAATGGTCACACTTAACATAACACTTACATTCACTGCGGTGAACTTGTGGCACTGCACAAACCACTGGATAGGCAATTCACTTGTCCAACAATTTACAGTGAGTTGAGTGTTCATACACACAGCTTCATTTATTTAAAACTTCCACAGAGCTCATAATGAAGGCTGAATACCATTCAAAGGTAAGCATTACTATGCACTGCTCTCTTTAAATGGCAGAGGACTTAAAGTGAACACTCTGAAGGGTGTATGGTATTACTGTCACAAATATGGCTATTTGCAATAACCCACACAAAGTCAAATGCTACTGCACCTTAATTTTTGAAGGATCTAAACGTTCGACGAATCCAAACAAAGATAACAAAAAAAAATTGCTTGCTTGCTTGCTAGATAACAAAGTGTTAACTATTTTGGGTTTTGGGACACAAGCTAACATTGTGTCTGTGAGAAAGTTTCCTGACATAGTTGAGGCATTGTTTAATTTGAATGTTAACTTGAGCAACCAAATATATGTTTGTAGCTGTTTAGATGTAGCAAAATGTTGTAGCAAAAAAAAAAAAAAAAGACAGAGTCAAATCTCTGTGTCATATTTATTTGAATGTATCTGTGTCTTTTGTGTGGGGCTAAAAACACAATATTTCTCATTGGGTTTACATCCCAGGTTAAGACATTTTTCTAAAAAAAAAAAAAAAAAAATCATTTTTCAGAATGAACGATAAGGATGCACCACTCAAGATTATGTGATCATAAATGCCAAAGTCCCTTTGTGTGAGGATTAAGTTGCTAATTTTTTAAATAAAAATTATTTTAATATGTAGAGTGAGGAACTCCAACATTTATAAAATAACTAACTAACTAAATAAAATGTTCTCCCAATGATTAACCCAAAATGATACTGCAAAATTGGAGTAAAATAAAGTGCATGTTTATATCACAATGGGGGTTAAAGGCAGCTGATCTTACCTCTAGTAGTGCAAATGTCTGGAAAAATTTAAGTGTCCTGGCTATATTTCTGTACAAGCCTTTATGGGTGCCTTTCTGAAGGTAATACCGGACCATGGCAACAGCCAATACAAGCCACCTGCAATAAAAGACCAATAAAATATAAATAAATAAAAACTTTGACTTTAACACCAAAACTAATTAAAAAGCCTATAATGTAAGGCTGTGCTTTTCACCTTATTTCCAGGTAAAGATACAGTTCATACACATGAAGTAGTTAGTCACTTAAACCACACTTTTAAGCATGAAAGTCATTGCACAGGATAATTTTAAAAAAAATCTAAGTGAAGTTGCGATTCTGAACATTTAAAATGCATTAACTGTAAAAGTAAAATTCAAAAACACACTACAGTTAAAATCAGGGGCCTAGATTACGCGGGGGACATGTCCCCCCCACTTTTAATATCACGTAAATACGTCCCCCGCACTTTTTCGGGCAAGTGTGTTCGCTCCAGCTATCGCTGTATGAAACCAGTTGTTTTCACAGAAAAAGAGAAACGTTTGGAAACATGAAGACATTAAACATATGATTGCGACAATATATGGTTTATTTGTGTTTGTCAAGTCATCTCCAGGTAATAAATAAAGTATATGAACAATGCAGTGCTAATTGACATAGCA